GCGCCGGGGCTCCGCAGAGCGGGGCCCCGCTTTCTGTTTCAGCGACTGTGCTTGGTGTAAGAATTGGGACATTTCCAATAACGACCTGGTTACGTTCAAATGATCCCTGGAGACAAACAGGAAACGACAGACTCTTCTGTTTCTCGTGCCCTAAAGACCTGAAAAGCGCTTGGAAAACATCACAGGCAGATGCTGTTGCTGCGGCAGCGGAAAATCTGAAACGGCACGGGTTGGTGTCTGTCGGGGAGGTAGGGCGCTCATCTGCATAGTTTCTGACACCACGTGGGTCCTAAAAACGTAAGGCTTTGTAAGTATTCAGAGAGCGGCCAGGAATTTTTAGAGGCAAAAAATACACAGCGTGCCGCCATCGATCCAGAGCAAAAACAAGAACGAAAGGCGAGGAAGGGAAGGGGAAGAAGGGAAAGGAAGGGGAAGGGCTGTGGTCCAGCGTCCAAGGGGGGACATGGAGGAGGAGGACACGATCCCCAAAGGCAGGGAGGGGGGTTTGGACAGGCCCGCACCGGGCCAGGACTATAGCATCTTCGCTACGCAGACGGCAGCCGCGTGGTTGCATCGGTGGGCGTTGGATTTACTTGTGTTGATCACCCCGCGCGCTCTGCGCTGGCACCTTGAGCCGCCCGTGTGTCTCGAACTGCACACAAAACCCCGCCAGTCACTCGGGAACGGTACAGAATGCAGAGAAAAGGGCTTCTGGGGGATTCAAGTGGAACCTCCTTAATTTTACAGGAAGCCTTTCGGTTGGGTAAAAATAAATGTTTTCCTTGAAAACATGTCGATCTGTCAGCAGCTATTTGGAAAGCTCAAAGTGAACTCCATTCACACTTGAAGGCTGTGGTTTTTAAAAGCCGAGAATGGACATTCTTTTTATTTTCCCCCCCTTGGGCTGGGCATTTCCTGTTGTAAAGTCTGTAAAGAAGCCAGACTACCCAGACCCTCGTTGGCAGTCATCTTGCAAAACTAATTTTTTTTTTGTAAGAGAGACAGACATAAAGGTAGAGGGAGGGTTGAGTTGAGAATGTGCTTGGTATTCACGTATTTAGCACTGTCTTTTCTCAAGCCACCCAGGGTTTTGTTTTATTTCTCCCATTTATATGCGTTCAAGGTGATAACGTCTACAAGATGCCCTGATGCCCCACGTTTTAGGAGTCCCTCCCCTGAGCGTATCCTACGTTGGCCATTTTCACTGCTGGGAAACAAATAAAAACCTGAAACAGTGTTCTGCTCGCCTCCTTCCCCTCGAAGAGACGGGGAAGTGGACTACAGGATATAACTCTCTCCCAGAAATAAGAAAACCTCTTAGCTAATAAAAACCAGGCTGAACCCCCATGCGCTTTGGGTATTTTCACAGTGCTTAGCTTGCACGGAGACCCAAAAGTTGCCTTTCTTGTCATTTAAAAAAAAGGACCCTCCAGACTTTTGCAGCATCTGCCCAATTCCAATGACTTAATCGTATTTGCTTTGCAAGTTGATTCCTGGGAAAATAAACACCCACGCCTTTGTTTATTTAATTGCAAGGTAGAAACAATCCGATGAAACTAGGTAGGAATACGGGTCCGTGGACCTGATTTTTAGTATGAAGGAATTAAAATCTTGATATGAAACAATCCAGAAACGATTTTTCAGAAATGCTTTTGCACACTTACCCAAAAAGCGGAATAGAAATCCACTTCAACTGAGCGTCTTGGGGATATTCAAAGGCAGGCAGGGGTGTGCGGGGCGGGGGGGGGGAGTGTGGGGGCGTTATTGACAAGTTCTTCGGCCCTGCCACAGCAGGACTGAACGCCCATGGTGAGTCTCCGTGCTTTTCCACGTATCTTTTCCCCTACCTGGGGGGATGGGGTTCTCAAAAGGTCACTGAAGACATCAGGCTAATTCATGGCCTCTCCTTCGCCTTACGTGCCCTGGCTTGCGATTCTCTGCAGTTCCTTCACATCCCTAGTCCTAGCATGTTAACCGGTTTACTCTTTTGCATCGGGGACTTCAGGGTCCTGACGGTGCCACTGAAGGCACCCGGCAACCCATGCAACCGGAGTTCAGGGTCGATTCGGACGAGCGTGCGCGGACGGGCGCACCGGGTGGGCCACGTCCATCCCGAGGAGCTGTGCTCCACGCGGCAGGTGGGGGAAGCGAGCCCAGCTGTGCCTCGGTTAGTTCCCGCCCCACCCCCACCCCCCAACAGGCTGCCCCTGAGGGCCGCGGCTTGGCCTTGGCCTTTAGCTGGTAACTGGCTTCCTTCACGGGGCCTTGGAGGGCGGCTCTTGCTTGTGTGGACCCGCCCCCCCCCGCCTCAATTTCCCCCGTTTCACTTTCAGATTTGCTTCTCGCCACAAATCGGTACCCCTGCTCTCCCTCCCACTGTGTGTAGCGTTAGAGTTTTCTCATTTTTCTAAACACTTTAAAACAGAAATTGCTCACTTACTGCCTGAATAATTTTTTGTTTTGAAGGCTTCCTTTCTTGTCACTGAAACAGAACATGGATTGAGCGTAAGCCCCTCCAAAAATCAGTCTTAACCGCCCCCCCCCACACACACCCACGAAAATCTAGCCTTTCCCCAGCCCCCCCGGGAGTGGGCGACAGCCGCCAGTGGCCCTGTCATCAGGCCTGGGTGTAGCCAAAATCGGGCACAGCACGCACTACAAATCACAGTGCTGTGCCTCCAACTCAGGCGGGGGTGTAGGGAGAGGATTTTAATTTTGACCAAATTGTCCTTTGAATACTTACAAGCTCACTTGAGAATATAATTTTTCGGAGTGAGGGGTGCCTGCGCCTTTATCTCCCACCTAACGGGTTCTTGCTGACACCCATCGATCTATAAAGTATGGTGATATGCGAACTACTTCCCCAGCAGTACGCTACTCGGTTGTACACAACGTGGTAGCACGCCCAGCATATGTAACGCTGCTTCGTCGGTGTGACCCATACCGGCCCGTTTCACACGTGTTACCTAAGTGAGCCCCTCACAGCGTCTGCACTTACTGAAATGTCAGGATCTAGAGCCCCACTGGGCGGCGCGCATGGTCCTTTCAAGTCCCCATTAGGAAAGGTGGCCTCTGGGGATCAGAAGCCCAGCGGGGGTGGCGGATGGGCAGGAGAGCCAGCGGTTCTGTTTATCTAAATGTGACGGCTGTTCCAGTTCCCCCTCATCCCTCTGCGTTCAAAGGGAGCTTTCGCCCCCAGCGGGCCTCGGCCTCCCCAGCGGTGGGGACACAGGCCCCCTTGTTTTTAAGTTGCGCGAGAGGAAAAATGTCTTAAACCCCTTCAGATGGCACTTTGCACGCAGTGAAGCAAACCACCGAGGACCCGACAGGGTGCGGAGGCGTGAAGTTTCATGGAAACAGAAAACGGCCCCCCGGGGCCCAGGGCGTGGGAGTGCGGGCGAGGGGTCCTGTCCTGGGGGATTGTTGAGGGCGGCCAGGTCCTCCTCCAGGCCGAGGGGACAGAAGGCGGAGGGGAAGGTCAGGGCCAGGCGGGGCCCTAGGGCAGCAGCGGTGCCAGGATGGCCTTGGACCGGACAGAGCCGAGGCTGCGAGCCTGCAGCAGGGCGTGCTGAGGGGCGGCCTTCCCGGTTTCCTGTAAACCTAAATGAAAGTCATCCCAGAGCCTCCGGGGAGCAGCGAGCGCCCTGAGGTGAAGGTGAGGCGCCCACCTTGCCCCCGGAGGGAGCAGTAAAGGGTCTGTCTGCTGGGGCAGTTTCCCACCTGTCCCTCCTCTGGAGTTTGGGGTCCTGGTCCTGGCTGCCACTCAGGGTGGCACAGGCCCTCCCAGGGGAAGGGGCGCAGACGGGAGGGAAGGGGCCGCCCAGGGAGGAGGAGCAGCCAGAGCACCCAGAGCCAGAGCGTCTAGAAGGAGAGGACCCCGCGGCCTGGAGGGAGGGAGGGCGCCCAGCGCCTGCGTCCTGGAGTGGAAGCCCAGCGCGAGGCCGGGCCGCGTCCTTCCACACCGGGGCGCTGCAGCACGTTGTAATGCAGGCAGAGCCGGAATGCGCACCCTGACCCGGCACCCTTCTGTGTCCTTTCTCCCCTCTCGCCGCCACCCCCGCCCACCCACCCCGTCCCCTCGCCGGGGGCGGGGGCGGAGCAAGCTTTGGAAAAGTTGCCCGTAGCCCAGCGCTTCCGCCTCGGCATGTGTTTATTGAAAAGGAAGATGGGCGGGTGATGGATACAAATTGGGGCCGTGTGGGGCGGAGCCTCGAATTGGTGGCTGTGGAGGCTCCGGCAGCCCCCCCCCCCCCTCGCCAGCCTTCCCTGACCTTCCTTCCCCTTCTTTTTGAGGCCGGATGAAGGGAAATGCGTGTTTTTGGCGTGGAGCCTGGTTTGGGGAGAAAGGAGCGCGGACAGAAAGCCGCGGCCCCGAGCCCCTCCCCTCCCAGCCCTACAGTGTGTCCACGCTCACCCCTGTGCGCGTCCCAGGGGTCCTGGCCGCCGCTGCCTCAAGTTGGGAAGGAAAACTGGAGAAACGCAGGAGGGGCGCGCGCCGGAGGGAGTCCAGGCTGCCGCTGCCAGGGATGCAAAGCCTGGACGCGGAGCGCAGCTCCGCTGGGAGGAAGCGCGCCCGGGGGTGCTGCCCTGCACCCCGAGACCCTCCACCCCTCCCCACCGTGGACCTCTCCTCACGCGCTCCGTCCCAGCGCCGTGGGGTGCCACCTCTCGGCGGGGCGCAGAGCCCCCAGCGCGCACCCACCTCTTGCCCCACCCCAGCCGGCCTCCTGTGACCTGCGAGACACCCCCGCCCCATCGCGTCCCACAAACCCCCTACCCGGGAGCCCGCCAGCCCGTCCTCGCCGCCAGACCCCGCCACCCAGGCGCCATTACCAGGCGGGTGGCGGGCCCTGTGGGGAGGAGGAGCCGCGCGGGGGGCCTGGCGGGCGGGAGCGCGGAGATGCGCCCTGGAGGTTCGCTGCTCTCTAGGTGGTGGGGCCTAGGCATGTCCCTCCCTGGATCTTGTTCGGTGTTTGTCTTCCTTCAGTGGCTTTGATTAGGCTTTCCGTGGCCGTGGCGAGGAGTTGAAAAAACAGAAAAGGAAAGAGAAAGAGAACACGCCCCCAGACCCGGGCCTCGCCGAGCGCCAGGGAGGGGGCGGAGGAGGCTGAGCCTGGCTGTCGCTGGGCTGGGACTTGAGAGTGGCGCACGGAGGAGCGGTGGCCCGCAGCCGCGCGCCTTCCTCCTCACTCGCCGGCTCTGCTTCTCCCCGGAGGGGGTGGGGAGCGGGCTCCGAGAGGGAGAACGCCGAGCAGCGAACCGCCCAGCAGCCAGCCAGCCAGCCGGCCGGCGAGAGCGCGCGCGGGGACCCATGGCTTCGCTGTACCAGAGGTTCACGGGCAAGATCAACACCTCGCGGTCCTTCCCGGCGCCTCCGGAGGCGAGCCACCTCCTGGGCGGCCAGGGGCCCGAGGACGACGGTGCGGGGCCCAAGCCCCTGGGCGCCCAGGCGCCCGCGGCCGCGGTGTCCCGGGAGCGCGGCGGCGGCGGCGGGAGCGCGGGTGGCCGACCCCGGTTCCAGTATCAGGCGCGGAGCGACTGTGACGACGAGGACGTAAGAGCATCTTGGTGGGGGCGGGGGGGGGGCCGGGGCGGGGGCTTGGGGCTGAGCGCTCAGGGAGACAGGGACGAGGTCGCCTGCGTGTCTCACGGTCTTTGGCCGCCCTCCCCCTCCTCCCCTCCCCCCTCCGTGCTCCGAGGAGCGCCCCCGAAGGCACTCCTGAGCGGCGGTCTCGGTGGCTGCTGTCCTGGAGCGGGTCTCTGCCGCGGCCAGGAGTTGGTGGCTGTAGAGAGAGCATCGTTGGTGGGCGCACGGTGCGGCCGCCCCACGGGTGGACCTGGCCGGAGGGTCCCCGGGGGGTGGGCGTCTGTTGCTCGCCGCGCTGCGGGGCTGTGGGTCCCCAGCAGAGAAGTCGGTCCGGCTGTGCCGACAAGTTAGTTGGCTTTCCCGTCCATTTCTGCTTGAAGACTCGGGGAAGACCGCGTCCCAGGCTCGCCTTCCCCCCCTGCCACTTGTCACTGGGATCTACCCATTGCGCCGTCCCCCCCCCCCCCCCCCCCGTCCCGTCCCCCCCCCCCCACCGTCCCCTCACTCACCTGCCTCCACTTCTCGCTTTCCCAGGCGCTTGCCCTCCGCCCCCACCCCCCTGCTGGTCGTGGCTGATTTTCTTTCATGAAAAAAAACCCAACAAACCGATGAAAGCCCCGGCATCCGAGGCCCAGCCACCTGTGCGGGCCGAGGCAGTGTCGCCCCGGGCGCGGCCCTGCCTGACTCTCCCGTGCCTGCCGGCCTCCGACCAGCCACTCCCCGAGACTGTTGGTTGAAAACTTCTCGGGCGCAGGTTGGCCACGCTTCTCCGGGCAGGCAGCCCGGGCTTCCAAGGTTGGATTTGCATATCGCCTTAGGAACCGGGGACTCAGACGGGACACCAGGGGGGCGCCCCTGCCGGGTGCCATCCAGTCCTGCTTTCAGGGGCGCGGCCAGGGAGGGCCCCGGCGAGAGGGAACTGGTCTTTTTTGAGACCTTTCCTTCCCAAGGGAAGAGGAAAAATCCCAGCCAAGCTCCCAGACAGGCCCGCGGCGGAGTGGGCCGGTGGCACGGCCCAGGGTGCTGTCCCTGTGGGGAGGTCCCTCCTGGGCTGCGTCTGGACACAGGCCCGCCCGTCCCCCCTGACGTTCGCAGGGCGGCGCACGTCCCTGCCCTGAGCAGGGGCCTGTGGTCCTCGAACACGCCCCGCACGGGTCACCCTGCTTCGGTTTTTGGTGGTCCTCGTTTAGTACGATACAAGGTGTGCGTTTGCGGGGGTTGCTTTTTCTGGAGCAGTTCTAGGGGGGAAAAAATGCTCAGGCGGTTGTTGTTCCTGGTCGTTTGTGTTTTGTTTTCTGAACAGAGGCTGTGGGGACCGTCAGAGGGGTGGCCTGAGTTTGTGGGAGACGGAGAGGCGGCGTGTGCCTGTGTGCACCCACATAGACACACCTGCACACACGTGCACGTCCTGGAGAGATCTGGCCTGGGGTTTCATGTTTTTATTTACTTTTTGGATCCCTCGTGGCGGGGACTGCTCCCCGAGAGAGACAAGGCCCTCCCTTCAGGAGGTCAGGCTCCCAGGGAAATGCAGGGATTCTTCAGGCATTGGGTCCAGGAGCTGCAAGTCTCTGAGGAGGAGTTTCCCTGGGGCTGGAGGAAGGTTCTGGAGGGCAAGGCTACTGAGAACCTTGGGGGAGACCATTGAGCTGCAATGCAGGCAGAGGTGGTGCACTTTTTGCCTTAAACCGGACTTGGAGCGGCGGCGGCATTGTGTTCTGCTGGGAGCAGGCACAGCGTGCAGCTTCTCCTCGGCGGACTCTAGGTGTCGCTAGGCGAAAGGCGAGGTGACAGGCCCCCAATTTTGCCTAGCATGGTCCCCGCCCATCCGTTTCTCTCCTGCGCATCTTCGCCTGGGGCACACACTTCTGCGTCTCAGTTTGACATTCGTCTGCAGCGGATTCTCAGATACACAGAAGGGTCAGACAGAGGAACAAATGGGAGAGTTAACATTTGCAAATTATGGCTGCAGACGGGGCTCTGAACAGCTCATCTGACTTAATTTCATTAGGTGCTGACATGAGTGTGTTTCTCTTAGAAGTTACAGAGGGGCGTGTGTGTAAGAGAGGTGTAGCTTTAAACATAGTGTATGTATGTGTAGTGCCTCTATGAAATATATGTATGTAAACATAGTAAAGATGTCTGGATTAAACCAGTGTCTCGGGGCTAAATGTAGCATCGGTTTCTTTAAAACCCTGACATGCTTTTCTCATACAAGTTATTCAGAATTGGAAACGTTACAGCTAAAAAGGCACTCGAAAGACAGGTGCCCACAGTAACGCAGCCACTTCCGCCCAGGAAGAGAGTGCAGGTAGTGTGAGGTAAGAGGTACTGGTTAGAAACACGGCCGCTGTAAAAACCGCTTTTCTAATACAGGCCCGTGTCAAGGTTACGGAATCCTGTGCAGTCTGTTCTTCTGCCACCCACTTCGAAACCTGACTAATTGGGAGGGCACTGCCTTTGTTCCGCGGATCTAGGTGCATCCGTCTGTGACACCGACTTGGCCGGTTTGGGAGCCTGGGCTGGGGCGGGGGCTGTCCGAGGTGCTGAAGTACGCGCTGCATCACCACGCAGCAATTTCTAGCAGATCTTTTGCAGGGTCCCAGCCCGAAGGCTGGTGGCTTTGCTACCTCTACTGCACAAGGTCCAAGCAAAGCAGCCGCATGCTGAGGTTGCTTGGCAGGTCATGAACTAGCAGCACCTTGCGTATCTGCCCAAACTACACCTGTAAGAGACCCCCCTCGGCCCCGCCTCTGTCTCCCCAGCGTAGCACCACAGAAGAGCCTGTTTGGGGCAGGAAAGTAAAGTTTAACTTTGACATGGAAATAAAGCCAGAGCGCCTTCTCTTCCAGAGTTACCTCATCAATCTTACATTTATTTGAATGTAAAGTCAATTACTTGAGCAACCCCTCTGGGGAATCAATAACTGTTTTGATTTAAACTTCTATTTGTGGGTTTAAAAAGAAGGCGACTCTTTAAAGGAAATGTTGCTGGAAGTGACTTTTTACTGGAATGTAGTCACCTCAAGAAGAATGAACTGTGACTCCGGTTAAGCATTTGACCTCCGTCAGTGCCTCTTTCTTGAGCGTTTGATTTTATAAATTTAAAAAATTAACATGTAGCTGGCATATGATATTATATTAGCTCCCCGTGTCTGTTTCTACAGTCCGCGTAAGGACGTTGGGGGCCGTGGCTCTGACCGGGGCCGTGGTGTTTTTGAGGCCGCGTCAGCATGTTCCTGTCATCTTCATTTCAGTGACAAAAGCTTCCTAACAATACAGAGGCGATGACAACGGGCTTTTAAAACAGCGAAATTGGCCCAAACAAGGATGAGCCAGAGGCCCACTCCCTGCGCTGTCTGTCGCCCGATGGGGCTGGGGTTGCGGCACCGTAGCAGCCGCCGCCAGCCTGTCTCCTGTCTCTCCATCTTGATTTTTCACGGGTCAATATCCCGGTCATTTCTTCTTGGGATTTATAAACTTCATTTTTTTTTTTTAAGTAGCTTGGCTCCACGCATACGCTTCTGTGCCCCATCGGTTTTCCCATCCCAGCTCGCAATGTTTGGACGTACTTAACTTCCCATTGTTTCCCTAGTATATGAGAAAAAGGCCCCAACGTTCAACTGTCTGCTTGGCCTCATGACCCCATGACAGACGGGGGCGGGGGCGCGTCCAGGGCTGCGAGGAACTTCCCTGAGGGGCAGTGCCGCCCCAGCTCCGCCCGCCGTGGTCCCCGCGGGCGGTGCCCCCCATGCTGGGCGCCGGGGCGGGGGGCGCTCGGTGACCATGTGCTGCTGCCGCCCCTCGATCTTCCCCGCTGCAGCAGCGCTTTCTCCTTTCCTGCAAACAGAAACAGTCGCCTTCGTGGGTCCCGACTGCCACCTCTGGCTCCTGTCCTATTTTTCTTTCTTCTTTCGCTCTCCAACCTCTCTGCAGCTGACTCCGCTCTTTATTGTCCACCGTCCTCCGTAGGTAGCTTGCTGGCAGGCTTCCGTTCCTGCCGTCCTCACGGCGGAAGCCGCACACAAAATGTCATCGGTGTCTTCTTAATGACCCCATGTAATGGCCTGGCGGGTCCCTCTGTAGTCTTGGCTGGTACAGTCTTTGCTCTTGGCGATTATCAGCCTACGTCAGAATGGGTGCGTTTTTTTTTTTTTTTTGGTTATCACATGCCTTTCATGAGCTACGTAAATTCGTGCCTTGTCTGTCTCGCTCTCTCTCTGGACTCGGCCTTTACGTTCTTTGGTAAATCATTTCCTTTTCCTTCCCTTCGTGTAGGAGATTAAGGGAACCCACGTGCCAAGGCTTGGGTCTCTATTGTTCTATTCTCCCCTTTCAAGCTTTCCTCTTAAGACAAATGAGCTGCGAGAGAAATAGAATTAAGTTAAAGGGAGCTGAGTGTATCCAGTGGCTCCTGCAGTAGCAGATCCCGCAAGTCGCTTTATTATTAGGTGCGCGTTTCTTCTGAAGAGAACGGGGAGAACGGGGGGACTGGGAGGAGGCTTCTTCCAGGCGTTCGCTCCTTGCGTGAAGCAGCTCGACGCCAGAGAGTTCCGGCGCTGGTGACAAGATGCCCGCGTGGACTCTATCCCTACTGTTGTCGTTTCCCCTCTGTCTGCACGTGCTCAGTCTGAATAACGCGGCCCGACAGGCCCGCGCCTCCTGGCCGGGCACTCCGTGTCTGTAAGCGCGGGCAGGTTACCCTCTTTCCGCGTGTCGCGTTCTCTCTTGTCACATTAAGTGTGTCACTGGAAAAGCTTTGAGGTCCCCTAATGGGTTTAACGCCCTATAGTGCTACTATGTCATGGCGCCCTGCTGGATACAGTAGCTGTCCTCCCGAAAAGCTTACATTTGGCACTTCGGAACATATTTTAAACACACGGGCAGTGCTCACTGCCTAAGACAGTCTCTCGGTGAAAGTGTTGGTAAGGTGAGTCATCGCTTAGCTTTTCCTCTTTGTTGATGTCTTTT